TGGAGTCCCTAAATCTTAAATATTTCATGGGGGCACCTGGGTGGTTCAGTTACTAAGCGTCTGCCTTCAGTTCAGGTCATGATCCCAGGGACCTGGGATTGAGCCCCGCATCGGGCTCCCTCCTCAGGGGGAACCTGCTTCTCCCTCTCCTGCTCCTCCTGCTTGTGTTCCCTCTCTCGCTGTGTCTCTCTCGGTCAAATAAATAAATAAAATCTTTAAAAATAAATAAATAAATATTTCACGGATGGTGCCACCCCTCACTCATGCTTAGAAACAGCTTCTCTGCCTAATTTAATCAGATTTAAAAGATTTAGAGGTTATTTTATAAATCTTGATATTCTTTTCTTTTTAGGTTCTCCTATTCCTAGTAGTAGTCCATACCCAAATCCATCATTTTTGGGAACACCATCTCAAGGTATCTCTTTTCTTTGTTTTATAATGCTACTACTAGTCTTTTTGAAGAGCTAACACTGTTACCTTAAAGCTTAGTGAGAGAAATACTAACTTGCCCTAGTCTCTTGCAAATAATGTAATTGAGTAGAAGTTACATCCAAATAAAGTATTGACATTTGTCCATGAATGCCTTTGCATAGAACACTTGTAGTAGTACACCTGAAAGCTCCTTATTTGGGTACCAAGATTCAAGTTGTAGCCATGAAATCTGTATGATTAGCTCTCTGATACCCGACGTTAAGGAGGTGTGACCAGAAGCCCAGAAGCTTTCTTGCCTTTTATCCTGCATGCTGACACTTGAAAGCCTGCCTGGGAACATCCATCCAATCTGAGTCTCTTCTTAAACCAAATTCAGTATCTGATTATTCCAGTATTTTTGTAAATATCCTTGCCTTTGGGCCTAGACAGAGAGGCTTTGGTTATTGAGGATGGTGAATGTTTTAGGTTAAATTTAAAGATTTGTCTTTCTTACATTGTGTACAAGGTGTACATCCTCCTGCCATGTCAACTCCAATGTGTATCTCAGGAAACCCAGCAACTCAGGCTGCAAGTATGAGTTGTATGGCTGCACCAGAGATTGTGTACTCTGGAAAACACAATGGTATTTGCATTTACTTTTCTCGAATCATGGGGTAAGTTTTGCATGGAATAACCAACTGTTGCTCACCTTGTCTTATTTTGTGTAGTTGAATATTTTTAACTAAATTTGGGACATCATTTATTCTGTTAAATTTTACTTATAGTTGTTTTAGCTCACTTATTTATCAATATGATTGTTTTCTATTTTCTAAACAATCTATGATTGTTTAGCTTTTTTTTTTTAAATCATCTAACCATCTATATTTGTTGTTGTGTTTTATATGTATGCATACACATATATATTAACATACAGTGTTACAAACCACCCCATTAATTCAGTGAAGTGTATCTGCAAGTCAGCTAGGCAGTTCTGGTTTGACTGAGCTATACTCAATGATTTATACACATTCAGCTGTCAGGTTGAAGAGAGTTCTGTCAATTTTGGCTGGATTCTCACATATTTAGGGTCATGTTTATATGCTGGTCTAGAATGGTCTCTGCTGAGGCAATTGGATTGCTTTCATATGCTCTGTCATCCTCCAGCAGGTTAGCCAAGGATTACTATTCATTTGGTGATGGCAAGGTGAGACAGGGGTAGATATTTACAAAGCTTCTTGATGCCTACCTAAGTTTAGAGTTGGCTTACCATCATTTTAACCTCATTCACTGGGCCAGGGAAACATCTCCATGCCAACCCAGATTCAAAAATAGAATCCAGTCAAAAATGGGAAATACACTCATTCTGAGAGACACATCAGTCATCTTGTAAAAACGATAAGTATAAGGAGGGACAAAGAATTACAGCCATTTTTGCATTAGTCTACCATATCATCTAGTTAATTATCCTATCTGTTCTATATTTGTCTTAGATTTGAAATGAATGCTTTCATTAGAATCATTTGCTTAAGATGTGAAACAGTGCAACACGCTTGTTTACAATTCATTGCCCATAGTCCTTTGATTTTTCTTTAGCAGTATTTCATTATGTGAAATAACTTAGATATATCAGGTTTAGAAATTTTCTTGTTTTCCATTCTTTTGGATAACTTTGTAAAGTGTTAAATCATTGCTGTACTTTGACAAACACACAAAATAATTTACTACATAATGTATTTGTTTTTTGTTTGCACAGCATAATTATTAAAACAATTTTTATTTCAGAAATATCTGGGATGCTAGTTTAGTTGTGGAGAGAGTATTCAAGAGTGGCAACAGAGAAATCATTGCAGTAAGTATATCGTATAATGCATTTCATTGCTGTGTGTAACCAGTTTATGATTTAATTGTATAAATAGATTGTTTCACATTTCTTGGTGTTATAAACAAGATGCAGTGGTTATTCTTTTATGTATATGTTTTTGTACATGTCCGATAAACTCTCCTTGCCCTGGGTGAAGTCCCAGCTCTGTCACTTAAATAAATGATGAGTCATTTTCTTAATATTTCAGTCTGATACCTCACTATAAGAAGAGAACAATAAGACCTCTTCCTCTTAATGTTGTTGTGAGTGTTAAACAGAATAAGTCCTAATACTTAATATTACTCAGAGCTACTATTTAATGTTTTGCTTATATGCTCCCGAACTCCATGAACCCACTACTAATTTCCATGCATTAGTATACTTTCTGGAGTATAGATAGATCTGTAGGAGTAAGAATAGATCCTGTAGGGGCGCTGGGTGGCTCTGTCCGTTAAGGTATGCCTTTGGCACAGGTCATGATCCCAGAGCCCTGGGATGGAGCCACACTTCGGGTTCCCTGCTCGGCAGGGATCCTACTTCTCCCTATTCCCCCTGCTCGTCTCTCTTGCTCTCACTCTCACTTGTGCTCTCTCAAATCAATAAATAAAATCTTTAAAAAAAAAAGAAAAAAGAATAGATCCTGTAAAACTTTGTATTATCATAAATTCAGGTAGTAAAAATTTTTTAACATGAAATATGAATGCAATTTAAACTTTTTTCTTTTTAAATCTTAAAGTTACCAAATATTTTTTCAATTCTGATACTTTTTAAAGTTCACATTTCTAAGAAGAATATATTTATTTAACATAGTATATGATTCCATTTATATGAAGTTCAAGAACAGGCAAAGCTAACTGTTGGTGACAATAAGAAAAGTGGCTACCGGGCACCTGGGTGGCTCAGTAAACCCACTGAGCTCTGTCACTCACATAAATGATGAGTCATTTTCTTAATATTTCAGTCTGATACCTCACTATAAGAAGAGAACAATAAGACCTCTTCCTCTTACTGTTGTTGTGAGTGTTAAACAGAATAAATCCTAATACTTAATATTACTCAGAGCTACTATTTAGTGTTTTGCTTATATGCTCCCGAACTCCATGAACCCACTACTAATTTCCATGCATTAGTATACTTTCTCTCTCTGCCTTCGGCTCAGGTCATGATCTCAGGGTCCTGGGATCGATCCCCGTGTCAGGCTCTCTCCTCAGCGGAAAGCCTGCTTCCCCCTCTCTCTCTGCCTGCCTCTCTACTTGTGATTTCTCTCTCTGTGTGTCAAATAAATAAAATCTTTAAAAAAAAAGAAAAAAAGAAAAGTGGCTACCTGGTAGATGAATGACTAGTGACTAGAAAGGAGCATTAGGGAACTTCTTGGGTGTTGGAAATATTCTATATTGTGGATTGGGTGATGACTGTATTAAAACATAAAAAGCTATCAATTACTGTATGTCAGTTATACCTAAAACAAAGCAGAGCGGGATGGGAGGGATGTGGGTATCTAGCCCTTTATTCTGTTCACCAAGCATAAATGATTACTATTAATGAAGATAGGAAACTTAAAAATTGAAACTTGACATTCAATTATAAAGTATGTTTTTTACATATACAATTTTCAAGTGTTTTAAAGCTTTTGAAAACTTTTTTTCTTACAGATTGAAAGTAGTGTTCCCTCCCAGCTGTTGGAATCAGTGCTGCAAGAATTAAAAGGTTTGCAAGAGTTTCTAGACAGAAACTCCCAATTTGCAGGAGGACCTTTAGGAAATCCAAAGTAAGAATAAATAAGATTTATTGGCCTGTTTTTTCCTTTTTCTGAGATAGAATTCTTGTTATAAAATTCATCCTTTAAATTTTTAGTTCAGTGGTTTTTAGTATATTTATAAGTTGATGCTATTATCACCACTAATTCCAGCATATTTTCATCATGCCAAAAAGAAACCCTTTACCCATTAGCAATTACTCCGTGTTCAGGCCCCAGTAGCAATAATACCATAGAATGGCTTAAACAACAAACGTTTATTTCTCACAGTTCTGGAGGCTGGAAGTCTGAGATCAGGGTGCCAGCATGATTGGGTTCTGGTGAGGACCCTCTTCCTCATTTATAGGCAGCTGCTTTCTTTCTGTGTCCTAACATGGCAGAGAGAAAACTAAGTGACAGGCTCTCTGGTCTCTTATAAGGCTATTAATCTCATTGTGGGGGCTTCACTCTCATCAGCCGATCTAAACCTAATTACCTCCCAGAGGCCCCACTTCCTAATACCATCACTCTGGGAATTGGGACTTCAATATTGAAATACAGTGGGACACAAACAGTTCATAGCACTCCCCATTACCTGTCCCTAGCAACCACTGATTTATCTGTGTCTCTGGACCTGCCATATTCTGGATCTTTTATGTAAATGGAAATGTGGCCTTTTGTTTCTGGCTTCTTTGAGCATATTTTCAAGTTTCACGTGTTTTAATGTGTATTGGTACTTTGTTTCATTTTTCAGTTCATCAGGTGATGCTCATTTGGGTGATGTTAGCTTTTTGGTTGCTATGAAAAATGCTGATGTGAACATACCTATAGAGTTTTTGTGGGGGTACACTTAGGATAAAACAAAATTTTATTATAGAAATAATATGGGCTTTTTGTAAAGATTTCACTTTACTGACCAGAAAATTTATGATCTGAAATATAAGAGTATAAACTATATGAAACATACAAAGGTATTTATTTAAAACTGCAAATAGAACACTTTCATAGGTCCTCCCCTGACAAACCCTGGGCCAGGATTTGGTAGTTGCTGCTGAAAGAAAATCCTTGATTGCATCCTTGCCCTGTGACTGTGCCAGTTGCAGCTGTCACTCAGTGGGACAGAGAGACTGTTCTGTGACATCATATTCAACATTGTATCATTCTCCTGCTGCTTGAACCTTAGGTATTCTCCCTAAAAAAAAAAAAAATAATAATTAAGAAAAATTTTTTTAAAAACTGCAAATAGAATCTAAATAGGCACACTTTTATGAAACATTGTATACACTCATTGTATTATATACTATATGTACTGTATATATTGTATATACTCACTATGTAGTTTAGAACTTTCCAAATCAGTGGAATAAATAATTTGTATATTGGCTGCATATTTTTCCATTATTTATATGCACACATTTAATATATAACTCAACTAATAATTGTAGTGTTTCTGTTTTTTCATGTTATAAACAAGGTGCAGTGGTTACTCCTCTTTATACATGTTTGTGTACTTGTTCAGTAATCTTCAATGAATTTCTTGAGAAATAGAATTATTGGGTGTAAGGACTTTTTTTTAAAATGTTGATATGTAGGGTGCCTGGGTGGCTCAGTGGGTTAAGCCTCTGCGTTCAGCTCAGATTATGATCTCAGGGTCCTGGGATTGAGCCCCGCATCAGGCTTCTTACTCGGAAGGGAGCCTGCTTCTCTCTCTGCCTCTGCCTGCTTGTGTGCTCGCGCTCTCTCACTCTCTCTCTCTCTCTCTGACAAATAAATAAATAAATAAATAAAATCTTGGGGCGCCTGGGTGGCTCAGTGGGTTAAAGCCTCTGCCTTCGGCTCAGGTCATGATCCCAGGGTCCTGGGATCGAGCCCTGCATCAGGTTCTCTGCTCGGTGGAGAGTCTGTTTCCTCCTCTCTCTCTGCTTGCCTCTGCCTACTTGTGATTTCTGTCTGTCAAATAAATAAATAAAATCTTTAAAAAATAAATAAATAAAAATAAATAAATAAATAAAATCTTTTAAAAAGAAAAAAAAGGACTAACATTAAAAAAAAAAAAAGTTGATATGTAGTATTTAGTTGTCACCTGAGAAAGTTATACCAATTTTCTTTATTTTGAACCTTTGGAACACTCTATAAAGTATATCTTAACATATAAATTGATTTCTCCCTTCTCCTCTTCCCATGTTTGGCATTAGTTTAATGTTTGATCTTATTCTCACCATCCTGAATTTTGCCTTTTGTTGTGTGTTTTGTTTGTTTTTCTTTCCTTCCCCATCCCCTTATTTTACTGGATTGATCAGACTTCTCCCTACCCCAAACACAGATTTAGAAGTTTTATACATGATTTTCTTTCTCTAGTAGTTAGTTTTAAATTCTGAAAAATATATATCTCTGTCAGCATTAGTAATTGGACAGAGCTATTATTACTCCTTTTCCCCTACCCTCCACCAGTATCCTTCTTGGAAATTATCTGGAATTTTAGTTGTAAGGTATTTTTTCTTTTTCTTTTTTTTTTTTTTAACATTATATTCTTATGTTAATAGTTTCTTAGCAGTTTATTGAAGTTTACAGTTATAACTGAAGTCTGTTAATTTAATACCCTGCTACTTTACTAATTTCTCTTCAGTTATTACTTTTTTCATTGAGTGTTTTGGGTTTTTCAGATATATAGTGCTGTCATCTACAAATAGAGATAATTTTACCTTTTCTTTCTAGCTCTGGTTGCTTTCTCCTGTCTATATAGGCTGATATCTCCAACACAGTGTTAAATGGTAGTGGAGATACAGTGGGCATCTGGGTCCTGCTCCTGACTCCAGTGAGAAAGCTTATAGTGTTTCCCCATTAAAGATCGTGCCTACGTAGATAGTTCATCATACTAAGAAAGTATTCATCTCTTTCTGTTTTATTGAGTTTTCATATAAAGTGAGTATTGGAATTTGTCAAATGTCTGCATTTTGCAGAGATGATATTTTTTCCTTTTATTAACAGATTTTCTCATTTCAACCAACCCTTCATGCCTGCAACGTTAGTTTCACTGAGTATTTGTTAATAGCTTCTTAGGATGTAATTTATATGCCACAAGATTCACTTATTTTAAATGTTTGATTCTGCAAATCTTAGTAAATATATAGAATTGTGCAACCATCATCATAATCCATTTTGGGAACATTTTCTTCAACTCAAAGACATTTCTTTTGTCCATTGGCAGTCATTTCCACCCCTTAGCCTCAAACACTTATTAATCTATCCTATCTACAGATTGGCCTATTGTTGACATTTCATACAAATGGAATTATATAATTTGTGGTCTTTAGAATCTAGCTTTTTTTGCTTAGCATTATTTTAAGGTTCATGTTCGAGGTCCAGGTTGCAACATAAATCAGTACTTCACCCCTTTTTATTGCTTAATGGATATGGGATTGTAAGGTCATAGTCATTTTCTCTCAGATTTTCATTTACAGTTTGTTCCATTTTCTTCCTAAACTTTAATATTGCAGAAGAAAAATACATTGCCTTTTTGATTCTCGTTTCTCTGTAATGACTTGTGTTAGCTTCGAAGGTTTTTATGCTCTTTGTCTTTATTACTAAAAATTTAGCAATTTCCCCATGTCTTCAGTATGTCTTTTTTCAGTGAGTATTGAGAACTAAACTTTCTCAGTAAGCATTTAGAACTAGACTTAAGCCTTGGTGAATTTTCTTCTTTTATTTTTTTTTATTATTATACTATCTGATTGCTTCCCTTCTCTTGGGAAAATCCTATTAACTCTCCTGGATCTAGCCTCAGTTTCTTCTCTTTTCTTCCATAATTTCCTTTCTTCCATTTGTTGTGGTGGTGGTTCTCTAGATTACAGAATTCCTAGAGCTGATGATCTCGATCATTAAATAAATATATATATAATATACACATATATATATATATTTTTTTTTTTAAGATTTATTTATTTACTTTGTTGGGCAGGGACATAGGAGAGTGAGAGAGAGAGAGTGTCTTAAGCAGATTCCGCAGTGAGCATGGAGCCTGATGCTGGGCTCCATCCTACAACCCTGAGATCATGGCCTAAGCTGAAACCGAGAGTCTGGCCTTTAAGCAACTGCGCCACCAGGGGCGCCAATTATATTTTAAATAGCATCTGTTTAGGAACACCTAGGTGGCTCTCGGTTGAATGGCTGCCTTAGGCTCAGATCATGAACCTGGGGTTCTGGGATCTAGTCCTGCATCAGGCCGCCTGCTCAGCAGGGAGTCTGCTTCTCCATTCCCCTGCTTTTGTGCTCTTACTTGCTCACTCTCTCTCCCCATCAAAAGTAAATAAATAAATAAAATCTTTAAAAAAGGGGCGCCTGGGTGGCTCAGTGGGTTGAGCCGCTGCCTTCGGCTCAGGTCATGATCTCGGAGTCCTGGGATCGAGCCCTGCATCGGGCTCTCTGCTTGGCAGGGAGCCTGCTTCCTCCTCTCTCTCTGCCTGCCTCTCTGCCTGCTTGTGATCTCTCTGTCAAATAAATAAATAAAATCTTTAAAAAAAAAAAAAATCTTTAAAAAAATAAAATAGCATCTGTTCAATTTCTCTGATACATTTTTTTCCTGGCCATTATATTTTTAGTTTAAGATCTCTTTTATTTTCCATTTTTCATGAGTTAGCACTTACAATGTGAATACCAGATTTCATGAGATAGATTACCTGCTAAAACAAACAAGACTGACATTCTCCAGAGAGCTGATATATACAGCAACATGGATGACTGTCCAATATATGATGCTAGAGAAAAGAAGCCAGAATAGATTTATACTACATACTGGAAAAGGCAAAAACTGTAAAGGTAGGGGCACCTAGAGGTAGGGGCGCCAGGTTAAGCATCTGCCTTGGACTCGGATCATGGTCTCAGAGTTCTGGGATGGAGCTCCGCATTGGGCTATCTGCTCATCGGGGAGCCTGCTTCTTCCTCTCCCTCTGCCACTCCCCTGCATGTGCTTTCTACTTCCTTTCTCTGTCAAAGAAATAAGTAAAATCTAAAAAAAAAAAACAACACAAAAAAAACTTATGGGGTAAAGAAGAGATTAGTGGTGGCCAGGCTTAGGGGTGGGAAGAGGATTTGGATGCAAGAAACAGCACAAGAGATTTGAGGCATGATGGAACTGTTCTGTATCTTGATTGAGGTGGTAGTTATATGACACTATGCATCTGTCAAAACTCATAAAACTACACATGGAAAAGGTAGATTTTATTATGTAACTTGAAACCAAAATGTTGCTCATCTTTGAGGGATGCTAGAAACCAATCCATTACTTTTAAATTTGGCGGATAGAGAGAAAGAAGCAACCACTTATCTAGCCTTTCTGAATAAAAATGGACATCACGATAACCAAATAATTGAAACTTTAAGCATCCAGGAGGTTAAAATGATTCAGTTTTAAATCATCATTTATTTGTTTTGCTATTCTACTACTTCACTATCCTGTAAAGGAAAAGAATATTAAAAATGTATCCCACCTCGTTTATATTAAATATTCAGAATAGCCAAACTTAAAGAGACAAAAGTAGGCTAGCAGTTACTTAGGGTAGGGGTGGGAGAGATAGGGATTGACTGCTAATAGAGAATGGGTGAAAATGTTCTAAAATCAGATTGTGGTGATAGTTGCACAACCCTGTGAATGTATTTTGAAAAACTAAATTGTGTACTTTAAATGGTTGAATTGTATGATGTATGATTTATATCTCAGTAAAGCTGTCAAAAACACAAATACACATTCTGAAATTTGTTTCAGTACAACTGCCAAAGTGCAGCAGAGGCTGATAGGATTCATGCGTCCTGAAAATGGAAATACCCAGCAGATGCAACAGGAGCTGCAAAGGAAGTTTCATGGTAAGTTATTCCTTCTGATCAGTTGACTGTACATGAACCCCATAAAGAGTTTTATCCATCAAGTAGAAAACAGTGGATTGAATAGAAAACAGTGAACATCTCTTAAAAAGATCTGCTTTTTGATAACACAAATATTTTTTATTAAAATAACATCAGTGTAGTTAAGAAAAGTGGACTGTATGGCTTTCATGTATTTTCATAACTTTAAGCCCATTAAGTTTTTTCCTTTACAAGAAACATGATAACCTTTTTTAAAATAAGTTTT